TTACACATGAAGTGTCAGTATGTAATGACGTACTGTTAAAAGTATGCAATTTATCACATAGAAACAAAATATATATAAACTACAAAATTCTAAATTTTATATTAATTGTTTTACTAATTAAAATTTATTTTTATATTGTGCATAACAATGAAATATAATGCGCTAGTTTATTTTTTACTGATCAGATATATCACACACAACACACATACACATATATACAACACACACACACAATATGAATATATCATATATTATATGTATGTTATGTACCAGATCCCACGATCCCACCATTGATTAGATAAAAAGAAGAGATTCAAGTCCAATGTTATTCAAGTTTGCATGCTGACAATAAGAACAGTTACATAGAGAAGTGTATATCAGCAAATTTTACGTAGATTATATATCTGAAAAATTATACTCTACGGCTAATATGCGACCAATTTATTTGTAAATATAGTACGATTAGTAAATTTGATGGGTAATAAATGCGATATTTATCGTATTTTAGCTCATAAACTTTTACATGATATAAACGTGTGATGACATAGAAAATCGCAAAAATGTATTCTGTGTTAGGAAAATGGTAAATATGTTTGTTTAAATCGTATCATTTTTTAATGACTTTAATTAATTTAACAGTCATTTTCTTGTAGTTTTTGCAGAAAAGATGCAGTGAGAGCTTTGAGTACGGGGGAAATATCCACTGCATTACGACCTTTTTATTTTACTGTCCACCCTGATCTTTTTGAGCAATATCCCACGCAAAGAGTGAGTATATTTTAATTTATAATAATTTAATCAATTTATTAAAGTAAATTTTGAAAGTAAACGATTTAAACATTTATGAGAAAAAGTAATTGAAAATAAGCATTTATGCATTGACAACGTAGTTCTTCATTTAATTATAGTTAGGATTATTTATAGAACAAAAGAAATACAATGATTATTGCATACATTACTGATGTATGCAAATAATATTTATGTATAAATAAATTTATATTATGTAAAAATTTGTAATAAAATTTCTAATAACTGTAACATGATATATCAAACATACATTAAATACTATATTAAATACATTAAATATAATTTTTCTCATTTATCTCATTTTAATGTTTCAGACAGTAAATGAAAATTCCTTAAAACAATTAAGTTCTATTATAGAAAATTTACAACAACAAAGACCAATAAGGCCTACCACTTTACCATTTTATTTACGCTCAAAAAATGAAAAGGAACTCAGAGCTGGAAAATTTACTTTAGTGCAGATTCAGTTGAAAGAAAAGAATCTAAGACAAACTATACTCTCTATTCTGAAAACATGTGATTTACCAACAACATTTGTAGATCAAATAGAAGAACAAAAACCACCAAATAGTACAAATTATAAGTCAAAATATTGGGAAAGAAAAGGAGTTGGAAAGGATATAGATTTCTCAGAATTAGAAGATGATCCTATTTATGCTTCTATTTTAATGAAAAGAAAAATTAATTCAGAACCTGATACTTTTAAGTGAGTCTATATTAACTTTTTATTTATGTAGTTAAAGTAATAAAAAATATAATTTTATAGGGCATATTTAGATAAACATATTAATGAAGTACATGTGAAATTAGAAGCATGTAGACCAATGAGAGAAGAAGTACAAAAGTTAGAAAAAATATTATGCTCTCAGTTAGGTTTGAAAAACATTATATGGGATTGTGGATGGAATATAACTCATTATAGAGGATGTCTCTTAGCTTTTAAGGCATTAGCTGAACATCATCCTGAACCAATGGAAGTACTCAAAAATAGAACACTTGTTTTTGCTAATGATACAGGCATTAGTTTAGAAGGAAATGTTATGTTAAATTCAGGTGAAGTTAGGCACAATTGGCTTGATGTAAGAATAAATTATTAAATTTACATAATGTTTATAATATATATTATACTTTCATAAATGAATATTAATCTTTACAGTTAATTAAAAATATTCAGAAGTATGATCTGGTGTTATTTAGATTACCAGCTTTTGAAAAGGCAGTTTCACAAGTGCTTCTTGACATTAAAGTTGGTCGACGGTGCGTAATACATCACATTAATTGAGTGACGGTAAGGCTCAGGGTACTCTATATGTGCAGGAAATTCATGCCAAAAGTAATGGCTAGCCAGTATGAACAACAACTTCGACAACTTACAACAACTCTCTCGGATTATCGAGGACGACGAAATTATCCAAAAGTATGGCCGGCCGATCTGTCTACTTATGAAATTGTAATTGAAGCGTTAGTATTACCTATGGTATTTAACATCTGATATATATTTTCTTTTAGTTGATTTGTAAGTATATATAATATATATTTGTAAGTATAACCTATAAATTATAATATAAATTATAAATATAACCTATAAGTATAATATAAATTATAAATGTACTCTAAATTTATATGTGAATAATAAAATGAATTTTATTTTCAGTGAAGCAGGTCCTTTAATGCTCTCTCCTACAGGACAGTTTATAGTTCCATCTTCATGTCCAAGTTTTCTTTTAGTAAACTTTATTACTGATAATTTAGAAGAAGCTACTAAAAGATTACATCACTATAATAAGTAAGATCATTTTGTGATCTGACATAGAAAGTTGATTCATTATTCTAAACATATAATTTATTTGTAGCATAAAGTATATAGAACGTGAACTTTATGATAAAACTATCCAGGAATTGGGTTTATCTGTATTAAATAAGGATGATAGTATAACTCCCGATTTGATGATACAATGCTGTGAACGTTTATTATTGCATAAAAATATTTTAGCTCCTTTATTGAAAGGGGTTATGCTTTGGGTGACACATTATTATTCTGTTATGAGTGATGGTGTATTATGTATACCATGGGATTGGAAACTTTGAGAGAAAAAGAGAATACAAATATAATATATTTTTTAATATCTTTTTACTGTTCTTTATCTTTATAGAAATTAAAGCAACAACTGTTCAAGAGTTAATTAGTTGTTAATGATTATGTAGATTATACATGTGATAAAAAATCTTAGATTTTTATAGAGAATAAAATAAAACTATTTATATAGGATAAAAAACTTTGAATATTGCACAAAGCAAACAGCTTCTTTCTTATGCTTTGTAAAATACGGTTTACAATGTAAATAATATCTTATAAACTGTATTCTCATATTAAATATAATTATTATATGACTAATCTTAATACATTATACATGAATTTTTAAAATTGAACAAATAACAAAAAAAATTTTATAAAATCATGCAATCCAGATAATACATGTAAAAAAATAAAGGTTAACAAATTTTTAAATTAATATTAAATTTTTTATTGAAATTCCTCTGTCAATGTTTCATATTTTATTTCTTTTTTTTAAAGAAAAATTATAATATCTTAAAATTATAAAATATAAAATTCATGAATTTTTCATAAAAATATGCCCAGATATGCAAAAAATTTGACATTAATCATTAAAATATAATATAGTAATGATTCATAGTGAAGCACCGAAGACTGTTAGATGCCTTGCGATTTGATAAAATAATCATGAGGACCGTCATCGTATGAAGAAAATACGTCAAACATCTGTAATCTTTTTTTAAGATAAACTAAACCTACGTTTATCATTTCACGATTGTTACAGCAATTTAAAAGTTCGGATCGTGTTTCAAGTAGACCTTCTACGATTAAAAGAACCACGTTCGCGTTCTGGTGAATGAGAGAGATTGTTCCAGATAGAGAAAATTTGGAATTCAGGAATTTAGACATTTCAGTTCGAACAGTTTTAATAGAGAAAAGTGAAATATTTGAAATATATCTGAAAAATCTTATATTATGAAATATTAGTAATATAATATAGTTTATAATATTAGCTATAATTTTTATAAAATGTATCACTATATTATTAAAATTGAAGCATGAAGTTAAATGTAAAAATTGATACATTTTTTTCAAACTTCTGTTACAGCAGTAATATTCTTCTAAAGTTTCTTTAATTTTATTTTTATGAGTTTAGTATTAAAATACCTTTAAAATTACTGAAAAATTTTAATATAATAATGACAAACTCTTCTAATTATTTATATATATAGTTTTTATTAATTTCAAAATAAATTTTTAAAAAAGTAGCATTGTGATTTTTTCTATACTAGTTCTGAATACATTGAATTTTACATTAAAGTCAAATTTGTTTGCTCAACTTTGCCCAAAATGAGAAAATAGCCAAAATAATTATAGCTAAACAAAATGTTAATAGAGAAGTTTTTGGTAGAAATTTTTAAAAGCCACAAAAAGATATGCTACATTAAAGAACATTATACCAGAAAGTCACTGAAAAAAAATACGAATAAAGACAATTTTTTAATCCTACGTTTCAATTTCGCAGTTACAATATACTGTGTAAAGTTGACTAAAATAAAGAAGTCTGATTATAATGGAATATAAAGAATATGTAATGATGAATGATTGAAGAATTATTCCTTAATATTTATGAAGAATCTTCAAAAATAAGTTTATCAGAATTAGAATCAAAGTGAAACTTAGAATTTTTGTAAAAAATATTTATATAAACAATTATAAAATTATATTTTTTAATTAATATAAAAAAGACTCACTAATGTAAGTAAATAATAAATTTTCAAAAGAAGTTATTTTTTCGCTTTTCTTTATATATAGTTTTTCCTTATATATAGTTTTCCAACATTATGGGTTGCGAACTCAAAATATCAGGACTGGAAAGAAAAGAGCTGAGGACAGCCGACGATCATCTAATTCCAAAAATATGCTTAAGTTGAGATGAGTAATTTTCATCAAGTTGGGCAGCACCGGAGAAGAGGTGCACATCCATCCAGAGCGAGTCACAAGCGCGAATGCTTAACCTGAAATCGCCATCGGTCTATCACGCAGCAGTAGCCATTGTGATAGGGCTCTAAAATATTAAAGTTAGAGTTATAGAATCAATATTAGATCTGTAGTAACATTAAGAATCAAAATGTCGGGTAAATGTTACATCTGATTACTTCATATACATGCAAACTATAAAAATGCCGGTCCAAAAAGATACAAATATTGTAAAAATCGCTGTTCAAATGACAGAACAAGTACCACAACTCATTGAATTTAATCAAAAACATCCACTTACTGCAATTATTCAGGTATTTAAAAATTAAAAATTAATAATTTTGTGTATATAGAAATTTTATTAGTATATAGTTTTATCAATATTCTTTAAGAAAAATTATCTAAAATTAAATATTAAAGTAAAGACTTGTATAAAATAATATATTTTATTTTTATTAGGAATTGTGCAATGGGTGGGGTCTTTCTGATCCTGAATCATATTCATTACAATTTTCAGAAAGTAACAATCAAAATTATATCACAGAAAAGAATCGTAATGAAGTAAAAAATGGTAGCATTTTAAGATTAGAATTTTCTCCTTCAAAAACAGCCTCTGACATTTTAACAAAGCTTAACAATGGGACTATGGAAGAAAAAACTGCTTCTTTGCAAAAATTGAGTACTCTTAGCACAGATATGACATTTGCATTAGAATTCATTAATAAACAAGGATTAGCTTTAATTATCTCACAGGTATCACAAATCAATTTTTTTTTTAGTTTAGTTATATTACTTTATTATAATCTGTGATATACACAGGTGGAAGGTGAAAAATATAAAGGAAATGCACTTGCATATTCACTTCAATCATTTGTAGAACTAATGGATCACGGAATTGTTTCTTGGGATATCTTAGAAACACCTTTTATTAATAAAGTAGCAAGTTATGTGAATAATCAAGCTGTAATTCAAGATACTAATATTATTGAAGCTTCACTTAGTATTCTTGAAAATATAGTATTGAATTCTTCTGGAAAATATGGACAGGTCGAAAAAGAAGTTACATTTCCTAATTTAGTGATGCATTTACAAAGTGTACGTCCACAAATACAACAAAATGCAATAGCTCTAATAAATGCCTTATTTCTTAAGGCTGATTTGTCTAAACGTAGAGCTGTTGCTGCTACTCTTCAATCTAAGCAAGTTAGAAATGTATTTTTGACAAATATCATACAATCTACTGGTCAGGTATGAAATTCCTCTGACAATCCTCTTTTTTTTATTATATAGGATAGAATGTTTAAATGAGAACAATTAAATATCTTCGTTGTTTTTAAGGATTTTTTAAAAATATGGATTTCTTTAGAAAGTTATTCAATATTCAGGGGGTCATAATATGATTTTTTTGTAGATAGAGAGATTTTAAAATTAGCTTTGTTTCATATGGAATGATTTATTTTTGCAACACAACTTTTTATTTTGTATAAAAAAGTACTACCATATGTATATTGAAAACATGTTAATTTAAATATTTTAACTTTAATTTTATAAAATCTGTGCATGAAAGACAAGAATAATATGAACAAAAGCATATTGCTCTTTTCTTCCCTTATCTTTCGAATAGAGATTTTATAGAATTAAAGTTAAGATATTTTTTAAGTTAATACATAGTTTTTTAACATATATATATATATAGATTAGTACTTTTTTATAGAAAATATAACACATTATACCATTTAAAAATTTTTCTATTTACAAAAAAATCATTGTCATATTATGGTTTTTTTAATACTACTATTAACTTAGAACTACTACTATCATTCATCTATATCTTTAAAAATAACGGAAATATTTAGCTGTTCCAATTTATATGCTATACTCTGTAGGTATAAATTTTAATATGTATATTTTAAAAATATGAATTTTAATATAGGTTGGTGCAGAAATGGCACATCAATTATATGTATTACAAACACTTATGTTAAGTTTGTGGGAACAGCGTATGATGACAAAAATGGATCCACAAGATCAAGATGCGCATGATAAGATTAAAGAACTCCGAAGAATTGCTTTTGATACTGAAGGAGCTGTAGGTGGAGATATTACTGCTAGAAAACAAGGTCTTTTTGCTAAAGATTACAAAAAATTAGGTTTCAAATATGATATTAATCCTGCTCTTGATTTTACTGAAACTCCACCTGGCATGCTTGCCTTAGATTGTATGGTTTATTTTGCACGTAACCATATTGAAGCTTATACTAAAGTTGTTTTAGAGAACTCTTGTAGAGCTGATGAACATGAGTGTCCTTTTGGTAGAACAAGCGTGGAGCTAGTCAAATTACTTTGTGAAGTAAGTATTTAACATAAATGCTTAGAATAAGTTAAATTTCAATTCAATAATATTATTGAATTTGATTAGGTTTTACGTATTGGAGAAGCACCTAGTGAACAAGGACAATCATATCATCCTATGTTTTTTACACATGATCATCCATTTGAAGAATTCTATTGTGTGTGCATAGTCCTTTTAAATAAGACTTGGAAAGAAATGAGAGCCACTACTGAAGATTTTGTAAAAGTGTTCTCTGTTGTAAGAGAGCAGATCACTCGAGCACTTCAATGTAAACCTACAGGATTTGATAAATTCAAAAATAAATTACAACAATTAACATATTCAACAATTACTAATTTATGGCAACAAGAAAGGACTAGTAGAGAAGAATGGGAAAGTCATGCAAGGCCGATAGTTGAACTCAGAGAACAAATCACACCTGAAATTTTAGAACTCATTCAACAACAACGCTTAGGATTTTTAGTAGAAGGCACCAGATTTATGAAATATAGTGCTAGAGGCCAGGTATTGATCCTTATTTCATAAAATATTATTAAACGAAACAATTTCTTCGTATTTGTAACTATACTTCATACTTGTATGTTACAATATATTAACTTGTACATTACAGAGAATCAAGGATAAGTTCTGGTATGTTCGACTTTCACCAAATCACAAAGTATTCCATTATGGTGACTGTGATGAAAAATCAGTACCAACAATAGATGAACTTCCTACAAAATTAGCTGTTGTTGAAATTCGTGCTTTACTGACTGGTAGAGATTGTCCTCATATGAAGGATTTGCAACGACGGAAAACTACTCATCAGTTAGCATTTTCTTTAATTTTAGATTCTGTAGAAGTTTCAAGTCTAGATTTTGTTGCTCCCGATGAACAAGTATTTGATTATTGGACGGATGGTATTAATGCTTTACTTGGTATGTTGCAATGTCGTTCGTATCTTTAATTAATATCTTCTCAAATTCAAAAACTATGTCTTATTTACAGGCAATAGAATGACTAGTAAAGAGGCGGAAAATGACTTGGAGACATTATTATCCATGGATATTAAATTGAGACTTTTAGATACAGAAGGAATTGATATTCCTCAAGATCCGCCTGCTATACCCGATCCTCCACCAAATTATGATTTTTGTTATGAGTTAAAATAATTTCGTCTTATATTCGATAATTGTTGTAACAATTTAATATAAGATATATAATTAGATATATTCGATAATTGTTGTAACAATTTAATATAAGATATATAATTAGATTAAATTAAGAAATATTAATTAAGTAATAGATTTTATAAAAAAAAATTAAGTATTATTCTAAGCTAAAATTTTTATACAAATAATTAATTTTTAGCATTTTTTTATTAGTATTTTTAAATTATATATACATTTTTAATTATATAAACTAAAACTGATATTTTAATTATAAAAAAACGCAGTATATTTTACCAAAGATATATTTTACGTATATTCTTAAAATCATTTGTATATATGAATTATATTTACATTTTTTATCTAATGATTCTTAGAGGAATCAGAGATCTAATGTTATGTATGATTTCTCTAATAAATTTTTAATTAAATTATAAATTTTGTTTACAATCATATTTAATAGATGTTTAAAAGAATGTAATATTATATAGAATATTGAAGGTATAATAAATGCATAAATATAAATTAATAAATTATTTATTGAATCATATTTTTTATTCAATACCATAAGTAAAAAGCTATAGTATTAAAAGCAATAATCATTAAGATTGTGTGCAGGTACATATGTTACTGTTGACATAATATTAATTGCTTAATTAACAACATTTTTACTTTCTTAGTGGTGCAGTATTACCAAAAAATAGTAATTGCAATTTATCGTTATTTACATGATATCTTCTGAAAGTATCTGGTAATTTTGTGGATCATTTGCTTGATGATTTGGAGGACATAGAAAAAATTCTATAAAATTAAGAACAGGACCTCTACTAAAGGGATTCAAATATCTTCCTTTTTTGTCTCGTAAATATGAATATCGTTTATAATTGAACATTTCGTTTGTGGTCAAATTCATACATGCATGTAAAACCTGTGTAAAAAAAAATTTTTTTACAAATATATAAATATTACATATTCAATGTTAAACAGAATAAATTTTTATATTTACTGAGGTACATGTCAAAATCCACCCAAGTCCACAGAATACCAATGCTTCTAGAACACCCAATACATATAATAATTGGATTCCTTCAATTGCCATACAATAACAAGCAAAATAAATAGTGAATGAACAGTTTATTGCTACACACATAACAAAAAGAAAGAACCACATTCTGCAATAATTGAATAATTAGGAATAAGAAATATTGAATTATAATTGTCTATGATTAAATATAAATTGTTTTATACTTTACCTGTTTCTCAAACCTACACAGTTATATATAAATGGACAGTGATGGTCAAAATATGTAACACATCTATTACAAATTCTGCAATGCTTAGCTCGTAAAGGTCTAAAACATCTACAGCTATGACATAAACGAGACAATACAACATTTCTCTTTTTCCATTTATCAAAATATGGAATCTGAAAGTAAAAATTATTCTATGAAATAGTTATATAATATTTTATAACACATTATAAAATTATAGAATACTTGTTTAATTGCTCTATAGTAGGTTTCACTATTTTGTGGTACATAACCAGGATCTCTTCTGTTCGCTACAATCCATGAGATCCACATAACAATATTCCAATAAATGAAACAATAATGGCTGCCACGTAAAAGATTCCATGTTAACGGAATACATTTTAATAAATACATTGGATATCCCCATAAAAGAACGGATACCATAAATAATAATATAGGACCTTTACTGTTTCCAGCTCCACCAAATAATAATGCCCTTGAAAGACAATAAATATCCTAATTAATAAAATTTTTTATAAATGTTTTATCGAAAGATAAAATACAAACCAAAGTTCATTAATAGGTGGAATCCATCTAGCTCGCCGTTTCTGTTCAGCCTGTAGAATTCTTACAATTTCTGAATGTCTGTGACTTTTTGCCAATTGTAATGGTGTTTTACCATTTTTGTCACGAGGTTCTAACTCAATCTTACTTTTTTCACATAATATTTTAACACAACTGACATTTCTAGAAAGACATGTTAAGTGTAGTGGAGTGGAACCAAAGTAATCCGGTTTTTGTAAGTCTACTCCACTATACATAAGTAATCTTATTAATTCTGCATGACCTTTATATGCAGCCCAGTGAAGTGCAGTATCTCCATTTATATCTGTTAAATGTCCCAGTGCACCAGATCCTAATAAAAATGCTGCTGTTGCAAATTTTCCAAACATACAAGCAGTCATGAGTGGTGTTAAGCCTTTAAAATCTGCTGCATTAACAGCAACTCCTGCCTGGGAAATAAAAATAACTTTAATAGTTTAATTTATTGTGAATAAATAAATAATAAATTATTTAACCTACTTGAATACCTTTAATAATAATTGAACTATTGCACTATGACCTTTCCGACATGCCCAATGTATTGGTCTTGGACCTTGTGTTCCAAGACAAGAAAGATCAACTGGTCCATTTCGTTCTATTAAGTATCGCATTACCTATAACATGTAATAGACGTTTTATTTAAAGAAGAAAATCTTAAGTAAAATTAATTAGCAAAAACTAACTTCAATGTTTCCATCTAATGCAGCCCAGTGGGCTGGAGTATATCCCCATTCATCTCTTGCACTTAATACATTTAGACCATTCTTTTCTACCAACTCATCAACTAATCCAATTTCACTAAAATGATATTTTAATTATTTTAATTATCTTTGAATTTATTCACATAAATAAAATTATATTTATACCCAGCTCTAAGGAGTTCAAATATTCGTTTTGTTTCATCAGACGGTGTTTGACCAGGAGCAGTTTCATCAGCATAAATATTGTCATCGGGACCATTTCTTGGTCGTATTTCAGTGCCTTTAGATGGTTCATGATTTTGATGAGTAGTGCTAGAAATTGGAGTATTCGGTAGATGCCCGACCATGTCGGGATCGGGACTTAATTCCCATACGGATCTCGCTGCTCCGGGCCCTGTAACAGGGCTCGCAGGATATACCTAAAATTGACATTAATTTCAAGTAGAAATTGAAATTTAAATGTATTTAATTTATAACCTAAGCTTTAAAAAAATTTGGAACTAACAAATTTGAATTTAAATTTGAGATTTAAAAAATTTCAATTTAAAACTTTGTAACTTAAAAAATGTTTGTTCTTTAAATTATTAATTCCAAATTACTTTTTATCCACTAGCTTTTTCTTCCATTATCATATACTACAAAAACTTTTATCTCATAACCAGCTTACTTTGCAAAGCGTTGCGAGTTCCGAATTTACACGCTCGTGTTCGGAAGGTGTCCTAAAGGATGCGCCCTGTACAGAGGATGTTCCACCTTCCGGAACGGTTAGTCACAAGGAAATATTTGGTCCAACCATATTTTCTTTTGTTTCTTATACACCTTTTCTTTCACCGTGATAAATTAGAACAATACGTTCTTCGTATCAGTAGTATATCAAGTTTCTGTACACAGCAATGTCCGCATTTTCAAATAGGACTATCGTTATATGATATTGCGCATTTAAATCAATACTTTGGTTATTATCTTACGCTTGCGTACTAAAATTAGCAAACCCGCAAAACTCATTATTCTTCTTTTCGTGATTTCAATATAAGTAAGTGTATTTTATTATGTTTTGTAATACTATCAAAACATTTCAAAAATTTAATGAATACTTGATATGATAATATGAGTAACGATAATTTGATGATGTACAATAAATAAAATATATATTTATATTATTTGACATTACAATTGTTAGGTATTAAGTAAATATATTTAAATGTTTTACTTTTTTAACGTTTCTAAAATTGGAAAAAGCAACGCTTTTAGAATTCGAATATGTATCGTGAGGCATAACTAGATGGCGTTAAATAAATTATATGTATGTGCCTTGTAATCAATTTATTTTAAATAATTTTGTAATGACTAAAACATTGTTAGATATTATTTACTAATGTAATATGGCTCCTACAATACAAACTAATGGTAACACAGCTGAACGAGATAAACGTACAGCTAGACCAGCAGAAAAAAGGTAAAAGATTTAATTATAACCTGCAGTTTTCATAACAATATTGCATACTTCTTTAATATTTCCATTTTAGATCTGAATTAATATGTAGAGTTAAATATTGCAATACATTGCCTGATATACCATTTGATCCCAAATTTATTACATATCCATTTGAATCTACTCGGTAAGACCATGTTTAAATATTAACAAGTTAGCTCATAATACATAAGTAATACATACTCAACATTCATAGGTTTATTCAATACAATCCAACTTCATTGGAACGTAATTATAAATATGAAGTACTAACAGAACATGACTTGGGTGTAGAAATTGATCTTATAAATAAAGATACATATGCAGGAGATGTAAATGCTCAGTTAGATCCTGCTGATGAAAAACTTTTAGAAGAAGATATTCTTACTCCACAAGATTCTAAAAGATCTAGACATCATGCCAGAAGTGTGTCTTGGCTTAGACGTACTGAATACATTTCCACAGAACAAACTAGATTTCAACCACAAACTGTGGATAAAGTAGAAGCTAAAGTTGGTTATAGCATTAAAAAAAATTTCAAAGTAAGTATTTAATTTATATTAAGATTTTCATTACGTGCATAAATCTTTATTGCATTTATATTTATAGGAAGAAACTTTATATATGGATCGTGAAAGCCAAATAAAAGCAATAGAAAAGACATTTGAAGACAATAAAAAGCCCATAGAAAGACATTACAGCAAACCAAATGTGTTACCTGTGGAAATTTTGCCAGTATTTCCAGATTTCAAAGTATTTTAAATACTTTTATATAACATAAATTTTAATTATTTTAATTATTTTATTATTCCTTAATTCTTTTCTTCTTTATTTTCAGCTTTGGAAATATCCTTGTGCACAAGTCATATTTGATTCAGATCCAGCTCCAGCTGGACGTTCTGTGCCAGCTCAAATTGAAGAAATGTCACAAGCTATGATTCGGTAAATTTATATTTTGTTATTATTTACTTTATATTTTATCAAATATTACAACAGAAATATTATTCTAGGGGTGTGATGGATGAAAGTGGTGAACAATTTGTAGCATACTTCTTACCTTTGGAAGAAACATTAGAAAAACGTCGAAGAGATTTCACAGCTGGTATTGACTATGCTGATGATGATGAATATGAATATAAAATGGCTAGAGAATATAATTGGAATGTTAAAAGTAAAGCTTCAAAAGGATACGAAGAAAATTATTTTCTTGTCATAAGACAAGATGGAGTATGTTTTACTTTAAAATAATATATAATTATGTAAAATTTATGTGTATTTTATTATTACAGATATATTATGTTTTATTATTACAAGTATATTATGTATTTTATTACAGGTATATTATAATGAACTGGAAACGAGAGTGCGACTTAGTAAACGTCGTCAAAAAGTTGGACAACAACCGAATAATACAAGGTTGATAGTAAGACATCGACCACTTAATGCTAATGAATTTAAAATGCAAAGGTACAGAGAAAAACAATTGGAACCACCAGGAGAAGAAGATGAAGATGAAGAGGAAGAGGAGGAAGAAGAAGAAGAACCTCAACAAGAAGCTGAAAAGACAGAAGATAGAGGTTAGTAATATTACATAAAATTCTATTAACTATACAATATAATTCTATTAACTATACAATATAGTATATTATATACAGTATTCCGCTACTGAAGGCGAATCTATATAAAAATGAATCAAGAAGAAAGAATAAAATTTTTTCATTAAAATCCTTGGTTTTGAAAAAATCAAATTTGAAAATTTGTCAAATATACTTAAATTTATCTAATTTTGTACTTGACAGGAACAAATAATCGATACGAACATATTTTATATATAAAAACAAATAAAAGATATAGAATAAAATTTTTTCGTTTAAGAATTTACGTTTTTATTTTCAAGAAAATAAATCGTGAAAATAGACCATTTTGTTAAAAATTGCCTCAGTGCATGTTTATTTTCAAATTAAATTTTCTCGAAAACAGAACAAATGAAAACAAATGAATGAAAAAATTGTATTTTACACTTTTCATTTATTTTCTCACTTAGAATAATCCTCTGCCGATTATTCATTTATACCCAATCTAAAAATTAATTTAATTCCAATATCTTTTAAAAAATATATTCGAAGTTAAAAATGAATCATTTTTTCAAAAGTTGAGACAAAAAAATTTCATTTTTTTTTTCGACTCATTTTTAGAGTTGAATAGAATAGTTTAATGTAGAATAGAATCCCTTCTCATTGTTTATGAATCGTGGAACGCCCTTTATATATATACTTTTTAAAAAATTATATAATTGTTATTTTAGAAGGATCCGAAAATGAGGCCGAATCAAGAGTATCATCAAGAGGATCTTCTCGAGCATCATCAAGAGCATCGTCCCGAGCATCCAGCAGAAAATCCCGTTCGAAATCTGGTTCTAGATCAAAATCTCGTTCAGCGTCACCATCAAAGTCTAGATCTGGTTCTCGGTCACGTTCTGAATCTCAGTCTCCTTCTAGATCTCATAGCAAATCAAGATCAAGATCAAGATCTGGTTCCCCACAGTCCAGAAATTCTTCAAAATCGAGGTCCCGATCAAAGTCAGCTTCAAGATCTCGTTCTGGATCCCCAGCTAAATCTCGATCTGGATCTCCAGCCAAATCTCGATCTGGATCTCCAGCTAAATCTCGATCTGGATCTTCAGCTAAATCTCGATCTGGATCTCCAGCCAAATCTCGATCTGGATCCCCATCAAGTTCGAAATCTAGATCGAAGTCGAGATCCCCCCTCTCACAATCAAGATCAGCCAGCGGCAGTGGTAGTGAATCTGATACTGGTAGTGGTGAAAGTGGTTCTGAAAGTGAATGAATAATAAGAAATTCGAAAATATTCAATCATTATATGTATATATTGATTATCATAAATGTAAAATACGATATGATCATATATACATATAAAATTTTTAATAATAAAAGATAATCGATAAAGAAGGTTGCATTCTTTTAAAATTGTGTAGTATACAAACGTGTCAGTAGAGGGCAGTTTATATTTCCTTGAAAATCACCTGCTAGTCTCTTTTAAGAGTAATGTTGCATCATCAATATGACGTATCCAAATTGTATTTTATCCGTGACACACATGGTAAATTATTAGCAACAAAAACGTCAATTATAAAAGTTTTATAGCGATACGATATCAATAATTTAGAGAGTTGTATGGAGCGTAAAAAGTAAGTAAAATTTGATACGTAACATGATATTCCTTATACGGAATGCATTACAGTTTACAGTACATGTCTAACCGTTTAAAATTGATTATACGTTCTAAAAACATTGACGTTGACTTACATGACGCATTTTTTGTTACGCATTTGTAATTCAGATATTATATACAGTATTTGGACTTATATAAACGTTTAACAAAATGTGATTGAACAGTAACGATGGTTTGACATATTTTATTTAGCAATTTGACATTTTTATTTAAACATAATATTCTTGTTAATATCTGAAATCGAATATATTTTTTAAAATTAATTATAGATGGCACCCAAAAATAAAGAAAATAAATCTGGAAATAAAAAGAGAAAGCAGATTTCTGAAGAAGAAGATGATGAAGATTATCGAAGACGTAGGGATAGAAATAATCAAGTAAATAAAAACAATTTGTTTATTGAAAGTATGTAAATATTTATATATTTATTTAGTATTGTTATATTTTTTCAGGCTGTAAAACGTTCTAGAGTTAAAAGTAAATTACGTACACAACAAACGTTAGAACGTGTAAATCGGTTAAAAACAGAGAATGAATTACTTGAGGAAAAAATTAAGATGCTTACAAAAGAATTAGGATTTTTGAAAGATCTTTTCCTTGCACATGCAGGTTTACATTATAATTATTTAATTATAATATTCTTTAATAGTCTTTAATACATAAGTTATGATTTTAATCTTAGGTTCCAGTCAACATTCTGTAAATTTTCAAGATGTAGACTTAAATGATCTTCTGGCTGAAGACACAAAATCTATAGAACAGATGAAAGAGACATCTAAACCATAAATTGCAGTGAATTCCACGTGAAAGAAGTAACGTGGTATTGATCAGATCTGAGATGATGATGCACTTTGGTTCGTCTATTTCTACTACAATATCAGACTTCTTGGAAAGATGTCTGTTTATTTATGAATTTAATGAATTTGAGATGCATGGTATTTTAGTGTATGCAGCTCTTTGCATGTAAAATTTATTGTCATTGGAATCTCAAATACTAAATAAAAGAAGATACAGAAGTTAAAAACTAAAAAGTTAACAATGCTTGTAGAGATGGAAATTGTTTTTATTGGAGAAAATAACAATGTTATATGAAGAAACATACTATATTTATGACTGAGATAGGTGGATAACAAAGCATGTAAAGCAACATATATTTATAAAAGAGATACGATAAGAAAGCATGTAAATCAAATATATTGTATTTATAAACGAGATAGGAGAATAACAAAGAAAATATTTTAATAACAGATTTTACGTGTTTGTCGTAAATTTTTATTTTTCATGATAGAAAAAAATAACAGATTATAATGTCTTACGATGGCATTATTTTAAGCATTCCATTATAATTCCAATAGTTACCTTTAAAATATTTTATGTAATTGAAATATTACGGAGAATATTTTATAAATTGTAATGTAACAAGAATTAATTTTAATAATATATCATTTTAAAATATATTTAAAATATAAATATGTTTTTAAAATATATAAAATTGTCAAAAATATTTTTAAATTAAATTAAGTAAAATATCCGTAAATTATAAGCATTTATTCAATTTATAAATAAATTTAAATTTTATGGGAAAGGACATTTTTTTTGAAAACAAAGTATATATTTTCCCTAGAAAACACCTGTCATTACTAGTTACTAGATCCAATGTTAACTTCAGTGTCTTGAGTTATTTTATTAATATGAGTTTTAATGTCAAAAGCATATCATAATACAATTTAAACAAACTAATAAATATGGGGAAAACAACGAAAGTAGTTGTTTGTGGAATGAAAGGTGTTGGAAAAACTGCGCTGTTGGAACAACTTATATACGGAAATGTCAATTTCAAAACAGTAAGAATCTAGGTTATGTTTCTAAACAAAAATCAGTTGCGATATTTTTCAACATTGCATCTTAATTTTCAATTTTAAATTCACATTTTAATTACAATAATATTATATCGATTTTATGACAAATTATATTTTATAATTTAATAGGAAATTCATCCTACAATCGAGGATATTTATGTTGCAAATATAGAAACGGATCGTGGTACAAAGGAAAAAGTGCGATTTTATGATACTGCAGGGCTGGAATCTCTTCAGAATAATGCAAATAATCAGCAGTTACCGCGACATTATCTCGGTTTCGCTGATGGATACATTTTAGTTTATGATACTGCAAAACCTGAATCCTTAGATGTACTATTTCCATTAAAAAAAGACATTGACAGGAATAAAGATAAGAAAGAAATAATTGTGATTGTTGTTGGGAATCGAACTAATGCTGAAGAAGAATCTCATAGCTTGGAGAATATAGCAAGTAGAGCTGCAAATTGGTGTACTAGAGAGAAACTGAAACATTATGAAGTAAATGTTATGGATAGAACAAGTTTGTTTGAAGCATTTGTTAATTTATCATCTAGATTAAATCCTCCTACTAATAAGAGTACATTCCCGCAGTTAAGTATGGGTAGAAAAAATATCAAAGTTGAAGGACTTTAATCATATTTATTTGTAATCTTAATTTATAATTAATCACATTCGTTTGTATTACTAATGCTAATGGTATTTTTAATCACTGGCATTAATTTATTTATTTAGCATATTTAAATTATCTTTATATGAAATAAGCATATATTCCAAGAATGATGTACTTAAAGTATCATTTTGCTCAGGTGCTTATAGTAAATATGCAAATACTATGCAAATTATATGCAATAATTTATCTTTTTAAAGATTTCGCTCGATTCTATGTATATGTATTTTCTGCATTTTGTTCTTTGTACTTAAAATATACATATTATCGAACGATCGATCGTAAATTGTAATTGACTTTTTTTGTACTGTTTGCTTGTCATACATAGTTTATATATATATAATATAGAAGTCTTATTTTGTGGATTTTAGTGGATTAATTTACCATTCAATTGGTTTGGTCAATTTCCGCAAACAAATATTCGTTCTGAACATATAATCCCATAGTTTACTACTGATACCAAAACCTAAAGAGTAAAGATTTATTTATGATAGAACTGCTTAATTTTTGCAGAACAAAAGGAAAATTACCTAAATCATGATGTAAGAAATGATGATAGTTATGATTTCTTTTCATTAAGTACATATATGTCCCAACTTTCGGCGCACCATGATGTAAGTAATAATGTGTCAAATCGTAAAAAACATAGCCTATGAAACAATTTTTTCTATATTTAATATATTTTTAACATTCATAATAGAATTATTAAATGTATTTTAATATCAATACCTGTTAATGTACCAGCTACAATAAAATAAAGAGTTGTTTGTGGAAACACCATACTATAGATCATTATTAACACTTTTGTTGTTAATGCAGCTGGTAAAATAGGAAATACTAATCTTCTATTATCAAATGGTGCCTGTAAAACAAAAACGAATTCGTTATGTGATTTGAAATAATTTTCATATATCGATTTTGCTCTTTTTCTGTATTTTCTCTTTTTAATCAAATGAATTTAACTGATAATTAATTTTTTACCTTATGATGAACACCGTGAAGTAAAAAATGCAAAGTAATAAGTATTTTCGAGTTAACGGGTGGTTCAAAGTGAAAGAGTTCACGATGAAGTACATATTCTAATAGAGTCCATAAAAATATACCGAATATATACGAGATTAAAACTTTAAACACAGTGCTTTCTGAAAATTTAAAAAAATAAAACAAAATATATTAGTAATGAAATTATTTTAATTAAATAATAATAATGTATCTAAGAGAAATACTGATAAATCGGTATCGAAAATATTCAATATATATAATTTTGCATATACATATACAATACCATATTATGCGTTAATAATATAAAAAAAAGAAAAAAGAAGGAGAACATGTCAAAATGCCAAAAATATAATTACCGATATTATTAGTGCTGATACATGTCCATCCGGCATAAAGAAAATGGAGACATACCGGAATCCATACTATGGGTATCATATACCAAGGTGTAATTGTTAAACTTTCTAAAATATTTGATTTAAAAAGTTTAATATCCCTATTCACTGGTAAATTGACCCATTCCGAATAATGCTGGCCTAGTGAGCCTACTTGTCCCAGTATAGCTTGGTTCCAATCGATCAGGCTCTGCTTGAACGAAGGTTTAAATGAAACTATCGTCAGTTCGTAATACTCGTAATCGTTCCATTTATGTAATGATTTCCATTAATGTTTAAATACTTTAATATTCGGACATTAAATGTTAAAACTGTTATTATTTTGTAAATACAATCATACACTAATAAACTTGGGCTCATTAAGCTTGAAGCCCCTATTTTCAAAATTCGTTTTATTCTAAGATGTTTTCTAAGATGTTTTCACACTATATAGCAGATGACAAACTGAAAACACTTTTCTTTTCGAAAATAATATATAGAAACATTGAAAATTCTTTTATGACAATTTAAAATGGATTTGAAGACCGAAGTTTCCATTTGACAAAGACTTATCAAAATTTATTGTATGATTTTTTTCGCCAACTTATTAAACTTTGAATATTGAGCAAACAAATATATATAACGACGAGAATATTACGATTTTCAAAATTTTCATCATTTAAGCCTAGTCTTCAAATCCATAGATTCAGTGAAACAAAATTTTGTACATTCATGAAAAAAATTTTTCAATGTTTTATGATAATTGATATTATGATAATTTATAGCATTTTTGAGAAGAAAAACATCTTTACTTACCCACTAACTGCACGATATAAAAATGTTTTATTATAAAATAAAATGAATCCATTTTATTATAAAATAAAATAAATGCATTTCGAAGATAAAGGCTTCAATCTTTAAAATGAACTGGGTTTATTATTGTACGATATTTTTTTTTTTTTTTTTTTTTTACAAAATTATAACAGTTTAAATATTTAGTCCGAATATTATAGAAATCACTACAGTTGTATTTGAAATGATTAGAACAATTTCAACAATAACAATATTTCAATAGATTGTACTTACTTCGTATTTTTGATATTTTTCTTGATTGTTTAACATGAAGTCCTGCAACAGGTGAAACGCCGCTTTCGAGTGAGGATTTTCTTCGAACGCTTTATCCAAACTCCGATTTTTAAAGAAATTTAATGTCTTCGTTCCGCCAGGATGATATCGAAGAAAGTCTTTTATATTGTAAAATTGATTTTTGTAACTAACTACAAACTGATTATTATGCTTATTCTCAGTTGACTGTATCTGAAATTTGGATTCTCCGGTACGTTTGCGTACGTCGCAGGTAGAGTTCGCGGTATTCGCCATTGAATCGATCGAACCGGTTGCTATTCGCAATCCCGGGACGGTATTATTGGAGAAATATTGGAAAAAGTTGTGTGTATATCAAGCGTTGTAAATCCTCGCTGGACTGATGAACGAATAATGAGCAAGAATCCGTGAGGTATCTACTTTTAAAGATGGACTATTTTATCGTGGCACACTTGAAATCTAACATTACGCGTACACAGTTATCGTATAAATAGACAGACGACATTATCTTTGATGTGTTTCCTACCTTGATAAGTTTCTGTCTATACGATGACGTCATCTTTTAATTTTTTATTTTACTTCCAACTCTTGCTTGTTTTTTTCCTTATCCTCATTGAGGTAATATTTGAAATCGCTAAAAGTTATCATTTCAATATAACTTTGCACTGCGTAATGTAGATCAGTGATTTGTATACTTTTTATTCTTTACTTTTCTTTTATTACATTCCCTTTCTTCTGATGGTTATATTTGTCACACCGTAGCGATGATATTGAGCGATATTGATAAAGGAAGATGTCATTATATACATATATGTAATAGGTATAAAGCTTGTAACAATCGAGGATACAAAGGACGCGAATACTTTACGTCAGCGGTAGCAAAAATGTTAACTTACAACTTTAAATGCTATTTTCTTGGCTGTACTATAGTATCCGAGAACCAAATTTTTAGTTCAGATGTATCATTTCGAGGATATTTTACGTTGCTAAAGTCGAACATGTCATTTTTCACAGAAATAATTTTCGAGATAAAAAATTGTTGGTACCATTTAGTAAATTCTCACCATATATATATATATATATATGCTTATAGTTGTACGCCTATGGCAGCATATGCATCAATAACTTTGCTAGAACAAAATGTCTTAATCATTTTGGTTCTGAGAATTTCGATTTGATAGCATGATAAGTATGAGAAATTTTGAAGTATGAAAATGCGCACAATGCATGTAATACATAAATATATATATATATATATATATAAATAAAATATTTAAAATAGAATATTTATTATAATATATAATAGATAAAACTATTATATATTTATTATAATATAAATAGATAAAAAATTATAATATATAATATATAATAGATAATAGATTTATTATAATATGTAATAGATAATCTCTAATCCGTTTCAAATTTAAAAATGGAAAAAATCCATAATCCGATGATAAGCATTTGATAACTTTCAGATTAGACTTTTGGATTTTCTTTAATATTTATATTTTGTGATATAATTTTATATCAGCTTGTAAGGTAGTGTAAATCGTGCTATCAGATCCAACAGTGGTTCGCGGAATTTGTACTTAGCGTACTGCGTGCTACATATTCATGAAATTGAAAATAACTTCTTCCAGTGTTTTAATTAATTTGAATTTTTCTTAAAAAGAAACCACGTAAACAATTATTTTTAATAAAGAATCAATTGTTTTGTGGAATAATTTTTTGAACGATTGGAGTTAATTTTTGATGGTTAATATTATATTAAATTGAGATTGGAGTTAATTTTTGATGGTTGATATTATATTAAATTGAGATTCGAATTAAAACAATAAAAAAAAAATATTTTTGAATATTCACCGAAACAGATGGAACTGCACGGAATAGAATATTCTATATGCGTTTATACTGATATAATGAACAGTAATATTTTTGTTTTTTTAAAAGTGATTTTCAAATATTATGGCCGTGCTTAACAAGCGACAGACAAAAGCACAAAACAAACAAAACAGATGTATTTATTATTATGACAAAAACAGAAATATAATATCAGCAATTTCTGAAATATTTCAGCGTAATGCGGCGTACCAGATGTTGATAAGCCTTTGATCTTATTAATTCTTTAAATCTTATCGTAATTCTTTAAATCTTATCATAAATCTTATCATAATAATTAATTATAAATAAAAGACTCAAAATATTAAACTCAAGACTTATTAAGACTTCCAACAATTTTAAAATCATGTTTGAACTAATTGTCAAGTATATTGTAATAGAAATTTAAAACAAAATTCATAAAAGACACGCCTCGTTGTAGGGAATAAACAGCAATTTTTTTTTTTTTTTTTTTGACTTATTAGATAGTGTTTATGCGATAATAATTATATTACTTTTTTAAAATTTTTTATATCTACTAAATTGTACATGTAACAGAAATTGGTATTTTCTTATTTAAATCTTTTAGATGGAATCGAGGAATGAACGAAGGAAAAATCAATAGACAAATCTTCATAAACTTGTGTACTCGGCAATAAATAAGCTTTTATTTAAACGTTTTGGACATTTGTGTATACAATATCCAAATATACCCTATGTATAATCTATATTTAAATGTCTACGAACGCAGCAGCGATTACGTTTCCGGTGTGTCAAGTGAAAAAAACAGAAGAACGGAAAGAAGACAGAAAGGAGCGGGGCAACATCCTTTCATGGGGTAAATCTGAGCATCCATGCTGCCAAAAATATAGCATTTCGTGCATCGTGATTACGATGTAACGCGATGAATAATGTATCAGTACATATTTTCATCTTTTGTGTTATCATTGCTATCGACGTTCTCGAGCCAGGTACTGACCTGTCAAACGAATATATTACACTGCTCGACGGAAAGATAGCTGTCATTACATTTACAAGATATTTATTCTTCCGCAATTGGTCGTCACCGATCGAACGTAATTGATCCTAGAAATAAGAGAGAACGAAAAAGTCTATTGTTTCTGGTTTTCTAAGGAACGATTGCGTGACCGATATCGACCTCGTTGAGCTTCGACGAAAACTCGGATCATCGCGAAGGAATTTTCGCTTCGTGGTTTTTTTTCCCCCTTCCCCCATTTTTTGTCTCTCTTATTAAGTACAAACCTAGAAAATTCTGCGATCCGGCCTCGACATGCCTGCCTCGGAGACATTCAAACACTGTGTTCCGCTTATCTACCGCTGCCTTGGGTAATCGGGTTCCTAGCAATTCGGAAGTATTACGAAACTTGGTAAAGAGATACCGTCTATACACTATTTCCTACTCGTACGATTCTATTTAGGCGAGTAGGTTCGTAATTTCTAATTTCCGTTTCGATATCTGCAACTTTTCTCTGTTGATCGTTTCATTTCTTCTCACCCCTGAGGTCTGGAAGCAATAGGAACGTAGGCACCGTCTAGAAATCGAAAATCGAAAATCGAAAATTTCAAGATGAACAATTGATTGTACGTACTATAAATACCAGCACGTTTTGAACATATCGTTCTTAAATGGACAAGCCTTCATCAGAACGTTTTATTTGTTCGATTCGTAACATAAGCAGACGGTACTCTGTCTAATAATATGCGAAGGTGGGAGACTAATATCAACGCAATTTGTTTCTTCGTGCAAGAAACCTAATTTTTAACAACGCTGTTGCACAAGGGATCTGCGTGTAATTTTGCAGTTTTTTTCCATTTTTAATCTGCTGTATAATGCCGATTATACGAAATAATAGATAAGAATTAATTGCCTAAGATAACATTCAGGCCGTTAAAAACAATTTGAATCTTGATAAAATTGAGCTAATGAACAAAGCCAGCGAAGGCGCGATTCCGAGTGCGATTAAATTCGGTCTCTTTTTTCACCCTTTGCGATATATTTCGTAATGCCGAGTTATTTATTTGAGTTTCCTCCACTTTTCTATTTCTTATTTGCTTTGCACACGCTGTACAAATCCCGTGTCGTAGGTTCGACGAAAGTAAGTATTGCTTTCGAAAAGCATTGATCACTGATCATTCGATTCTCTTAATCCGGACCTGCAATTCGTTTTACAGATCTTCAAAGAACTGAAATTCCAAAGAAGTGACAGATGTTCGATTATTTCTTTCTTCCTTGCCCTATTCGTAAGAAGAAACTACGCGAATCCGATTTACGCTCGTTTTTAAAAGTCCATCACTTCCATTTTGAACGGTTTACCCTGAAGTTTATTAGGGACAATTTTCGTTATGGGCGGTGCACTGTTGTTATCGTCGTCGCTATTCACATCTTCGTCCTCCTCGGGGAAATCTTCGAGACGATCGTGATACTCGTCCAACTGAAAAAAGCAAGATCGTTACCGTTAATCGCGAGCAACCACGTTCTTTCATGCTCGAATCGTGAACGAACAATCGCAACTAAGGCTATGCGCGATCCATGTGGAACATAGACGAGCCACAGCGTGTTCTTTACTAGTGGAAAACTGCGGTGCCAGCGAAGTATCTCATAAGCAAGGAAGCTCTTGCTCTCGGTGAACACAAACATCGGAATCGTTCGTTTCTCTCTTTCGCAGGCAACGTGTCTAAAAAATGTCCTTTGAGTTGTAAGATTCACAAGCCGAAAAGAAAAGACATCCTCCGTGTCTTTTCCTCTGTTCCCCTGGATCTTGAAGATCATCCACCCGATAGAAACCCGACGGTGCAAAGCAAAGGTAAAATCAAGCTAAGAGCATTCCATAAATACTTCCATAATATACTAGGGACTCACGTGTAAGGTAATTATGGAAGAAGCGATTAATCGACGTTACCGCACACAGAACGGACGCTTTCCTATAACTGCAGGTACGTCCAACGTAAATCTTAATGGTCGTTCAGGCTTAATCGACGCACCTTGAGCAAGTAAGTAGATAATACTCTCTTCTTCCAGACTTGTACTTGTGACGCGTATACCATGTAAGCGTGTCTCTCGGTGCGCCAATTAAGTCGCCCTCTATCATGATGACTACGTCTCTACGTTGTCTAAACAAGCATATGAACGTGTCTCGCGTGTTTTATTTATAAGTTATTAATTACGATCGGTGATAAGAAACAAATCGAACAATTTGACGAATCAACGATACGAAATGGGGTGATTCGTGTGAATAATAAAGGTTTCCTGGCTTAAGACTGTGCTGTCCGAATCATCGGGTGAGATGCTCTTTGATGAACAGTCAAGAAATAATAAATAAAAAAAAAAGCAGATGCAAGTGCATGTGTTGAGATGTGTAAGATCAAATGGAGTGGTTGACGAGGACGCATGATCGATGTTAGTGAAACGAGCGTATCACGATCGAAGCTTTTCTAGTTCTACTCACATCGACGTCGCCCATCATCTCTTTAGTGGAAACTGTGGTATCTATACGTCGTATGCTGCCTTGATGAATGTCAACGTCCAGTTTGACGCATTGGAACCGTCTCAAAAGGAATACGATCGGTATTGGCGCGATGCCCGCGAAAATGATGACAACCGCTATGGCCAACACCCAGCTGGGATACGCAGTAGGTACGGCTATACCCTGAAATGAATAAAAAAAAAGATGTCGAGGCCGACTTGTGCTAGGAAATTTGGCAGCGAAACAGAGGATGTGAAAATTTATCTGTACCCGTGATGCGTCCCACGCGGAATATGTAGGCTTTTTGATGAACATGGACGCTATGCTGGAAAGGAGAATACACACCATGATTATAGGGGCAAGGAATCTCCAGGTGAATTGCCAATATGCCCCTGGTCTGTATCCTGTCATTTCCTCGATGTCTTTTGTGAATCTGAAAAAAATATTGTATTGACGTTTTTTAGATATTTAAAATTCTTTAGATACTCAAACATCGAAAAGTTTAATACCAAATGAGGAACATGTAACAAATTAAGAATGCATTGATCTTTAAACATATATCTTTTAACATAATTCATTCAACATATATATTGTAACACGTTATCTTCTTCAAACCTCTAATAAGTAAATTGTTTTACCAATTGTTTTACTATTGATTGCAAGATTATCTGTACGGACTAAAGACTCGAAGGATTAAACAAAGATAAAGTATCAAAACAAAGAGATAAAGTATCAGCGTACTTTTCGTGTCCATAAACGAAGATGACGGAAATCATTTCCATGAGCGCGACCATTACGAGACCGATGGTACCGGCGAAACTGTCGAACATCTTCAGCCAATATTCTCCAGCGCCGGTACAGAATATTAAACCAACAAAGAAGCAGATCGTACAAACGACCCCTGGAAAAGAAAATGATCATTGATCACCTTTATTCTATCGCGAAGATAGACCACCTGCCGTATCTGTGGTACGAAGATAATCGTACCTGTCATGTATTGCTTTTTTATTCTCTTGAACAGATCTATGTCAAAAATGACACACAGCATGCCTTCTAATATACCGATTTGAGAACCCAGGCCGAGTGCTAGAAGCATTAAGAAAAAGATGCAGGACCAAAATGAGGCGCCAGGCAACTCGACTATCGCCTGGGTGAAGACTATAAAAGCCAATCCTGTACCTTCGGCGGCCTGATAATCGATAAATTTTTAAAAGTTATAAATAAAAAGGGGAAACAAAACTTTTCTCCAAGGCATAGATATCAGACAAATTTGTTTGCTAATTACATTGTCCAATTGCTCGCTGAGACTGCACGTTTCAAGGTTGAAGTTTAATGCGGATTTGTTTAACGTATCTACATATTTTTCGTATTCGTCTATGGTGATGTTCTCTGTTATATTATGTCCATTTTGAAGAAGTAAGTCTTTGTTACTGAAAACAGAAAAACAGAATTTAACGATCGTTAATACTCCGAGATAGCTTTCTCGTTTCATTGCATTTTATCCAAGTTGAATGAAGAGAATCAATTTACCTCGCGAGGCACTTATCGACATTTGTCATCGCCTTAAAGCCTAGAATGGCGAATATCACGACACTCGCGTAAATAGCGGTGAAGGCGTTACAACCGCTAACCAGGATCACGTCCCGGACACAGTTGTTGTCCGGAGTGTTGTAAGAACCGAACGCGATCAAGGAGCCGAACGCTAGTCCGAAACTGTAAAAAACCTGCGTCGCTGCGTCGAGCCAAACCGTCGGCTCTAATAATTTCTCGATCTGTAGATAAAAAATAGATAACCGTGAAAATCACGAGATAAAAAGCAGAGCTTTTATCATAGAAGAGATAGAAAGGAAAAAAAAAAGTAATTACCTTTGGCGTGTACATGTGGGCTAATCCAGCGCTGGCACCTTTTAACGTTATTCCACGAATAAAAAAGATAGTAAGCACCAAATACGGGAACATGGATGTAAAATATACCACCTTTAAATCAAGCAGAAACATAAGTCGTTGACACAGTATATTTAACTCCCGCATTTTACAATTAGGGAAGGAAAGTAAACGACTTATTCGCGAGGAAAAGAAAAAACCGATTAAAACAGTCGACGTATTCTTACCTTCCCCGATGATTGTATTCCCTTCATCACGATAAAGAAGACGATGATCCAACTCAATAGCAGACAAAGGACGATCCACCACTTGAGACTCTGTCCTTCTTGAATCGAGGGTGCTGCGTCTAACGTGGTTCTATACCAAAAATAGGCAGTTTCCGAACTCTTCACGCATTCCTCGACTGGCTTGCCATTAACCTCTGGACATTTCGCCCATGGTAACGGCTCCTACAAATCAAATCGCAAAATTTACCTTCACACCATTCCGTATTAAGCAACAAAACCGATAATCGATAATAAAAGCGCCGAGATTTGCAATTTGTCGTAATAAGAAACAGTACATCATGCGCGACGCATGCCATTTTTCGTCCATTTCCTTTCTCGGCAGGCTAATAATGCAAACGAAAATTGAAATCGATAGGTACTTACGTTGAATTTAATCGTGACGGCCTAATCGAGAGCGGCATGAAACATAAATCGTATTCGTTAATCGAACGATCGTGGAACTGTTCTGATACCCGCGTAATTATAGCTCCCGCGTATTCCATCGATCAATTAAATGCAATAATTGCTGTCAGACTCGTTTTCAATCGGCGGAATAATAATAACCGGCCTAGGTTCAATTTATCGATCGGATCGATCGGGTTATTGGAAAATGAAAGAACTCACCTCAAGTGAATTGAAAAGATAATAGAAGCACCAGGTAATGATGACGTTGTAATAAAGTGCTACGAAGAAGGTGACGATGCACGATGCTATTCCTATGCCGCCTAGCCATGGATGTATCGTGTTCCATACACCAAGGGCACCTTGTCGCATTCGTTGACCGAGACCCAGCTCGATTAAAAAGAGGGGTACACCCTCTAGGATTAGCATCACGAAAAAGGGGATGAGAAAGGCACCTGAAACGATTTTTTCTTTTTTTTTTCTTTCTTTGCTGTCTAAAAAGCGAGATCTGCATTCTTACTATTATTTCTCCTAGTGAAATAATATCGTTCGTTAGCCCCCCTTCCCCATTCCACTGCCTCTTATGTTGCTCTGACCCTTTATTGTAGAATGAATGCCGTAACCGTTCTCTTTTAATCTCTCCCATTTGCCAGAGCTCGGCCGTGTCCCTGCTTACAGAATATTCTTCGTTCCCCTTTTTTCGCGGTAGTCTAGTTTGAGACAGCCGCAGCCGGAGTGTCTGGTTCGGTATTGATCGAGTGACGCGTACGTACATAATACTTACATACGTAGGTACACGTTCGATCTCATTCGAACATTTCTCCTTTGGCATTCTTTTCTCCCTTCTCGTCATCGTTTTGATCGAAAGAATTTCGCGAGCGTCGATAGACGGTATACTATTAATCAATCGTGTCACATACGATGCGATATTATCGTGATTACATACGTTCTCGACGTAGAAGATTAGTTCGTTCAGGTACGCGGCATGCGATCCTCCGTAAGACTTTTGGATAAGACCCACGGATACTGATAAAGATTTTTAATCCTACTACTTGTATCGTGTTTCCGCTACAAGTGGACTGCTTCTCGTCTCCATTGTTATTTCGAAAATTTTGATTTGCATTAATTTCTAAACTGTCGTTTCATTGTTAGAAAAATGCGAAGAAAAGAGTTTCATACTCTTCAATTCAGGAGAGACAGATGATTCATAAAGGTTGCGGATGCGGAATTGTTACGTATCTGCCGATAGAACGTTAAAAATCGATGGACGCGCGTCGCACATCAGCGTTAGGCTGAACAGTGGCCTCGACATCGTGTCGCGTCGCGTCGCGTCGCGTCGCGTCACAAGGGCACAAGATATTGAAAATCGAATAGGTCTTGGCTCATTTTTGGTCATACACGTCCTGACGTATCGTTAACGCGAATTACTGAATTACGAATCACAGTTATAGCTGAAAGAAACTTGAGCTTCGTTATACGTTTATACGTTCTGCGCAATAGTACA